GCCTCCCCATCAGTAGTATCACCGTTACAGTGGTAGTGAGTACAGTAGCGTGTGCTGAAATGATCGATCAAAGCACATGATGGTTCCGATTTGGCGTTCACAGCTCCACTAGGCCGCAAGACGTGTTTGGCAAAGCAAAGTAGACAACCAGAAGTCGGTTCGGATTCGTCGGTGAACGAACAACCCCCCTTCCCTATCTTCTGGTGCTTACCATTAGTTAAGCTGCTTATGTGTAGCATTTAGGGGTCATGTATGGTCCTCCATGTTGTTGTTATCAACGTCTCTGCGTTTATCTCCCGCACTGCCTGCTATCAGTGCATTAACATATTTCCATGGCCGTAAGAATGTAAACTGTGATCGTTTATCTGTTTTGTGTTTGATCTTGGTCAACCCTGCTTTCTTCTTGACACCTCATCGTTTGTTTCCACATCTGGTGGACGTACGCCGTGTCATTCCTAATCAGGACGTAACCCTCTACATCCATTATATATTCCTCAAGTGCAGTCATCGATGGACCATTTTAGTCTATCGATTGCTGGGACGTCTTTCCGAGTTGTCGTGGCAAGTACGCATGTTTTGACACCGCTTTTAGTGTGCGTTTTTGGCTCAGTTTTGTCCTGGAAGTGCTCGGGGTACCTCTTGTCGGTTTCACCTTGCTGACAACCTAGTATTGGGCGTCACGGACCTATTGAGGATATCTTTCGTGAGGCGAGCCTCCAGCATCAACCATTTCCGATGTTTTTGCAATTGAGACGTGACCAGTTGAACGACAGCGTCACTGTCACTAGGCTCCTGTTGATGTCGTCTGTCGAGTCCACGCTATCTAGCCTGCTCGTTCTGGCAAGCCGCCGAGTGTTTGGTCAGTTTCTCCCAGTTGGTCTACCCCTGCGTATTCGTTTTCTCTTTGAAACTGTTGCATAGGTCCTTCGGTGAGCCTTGGTTTTCTGGTTTTAAACTAGAGTAGAAGCATCCTTCCTCCCCTAGAGACGCCTGTTCCTCCGGTACCGCATTCCTAATGGTTGCTTGCCGCGTCCAAGAAATGGTGATCGTGCGCAGACTACTGCGCCCTCACTCTTTCTACTGGGCACTTTCATACACTGCAGGCGATATATTTTCCTAAAGGGAACTAACTACTCACAAGCTTGGTGAAAACTCTTTGGCTTTTATGAAAATATACTGCGATATCTCGAATGTCATTCGAACTGAAACGTGATGCGGCCTTTGTGCAACGCATTTAGTTGAAGAATATCGTACACGAGAGATTCAGTTGGGCCTCACGTAGAAACCAAATTGGTCGCAGGTGATATACTTGTTCTCTTCAATTATTTTTTCAATTACCTCTTCAATTAAAAATGTCCTAAAGTCATGGACAAAAGGTACTTTATGTCGTTTAGTGCAGAAATGCCTTCGTATGTAGCAGGGTCATTTCTCTAGAGTACAAACACGGGCGACCACACGTCAGTCTTGGAAAACTGCTTCCTCTCTCTCTCTCTCCCGTCTTTTGCGGCATGCAGCACCTTAAACAGCGCCAGAAGCGGAACGTTTCACCCTCTCACCATTCGGACGATACCACAGATCCATCAAACGGATGCCTAATTATTGATGAAGATTATCCCTTTGACTCTAACTGCGCCAATAGCCATTCAACCCCTGTCAAGCGACCATGCGGTGTTGACTCAATCATGGAGAAATCTCCAAAACGTGCCCGCAGCTCTGGATCTTCAAGGTTGACTGATTTTGAGGGCTATGTACCCAATGTAAAGGCAAGTTTGACCACCTGTTTTATACTCATTTATTTCTCATGGGTGAATGCACCGGAAGTATAGAGTTATTTCCTCAAGTGTTTGAAGGCCGCTTTTGATTCATTCGATCGTTAAAAACTATGCCGATATCTGGTGATCGACTGAAAACGCGCTTTCTGACTGACTCGTTACGGATTCGCCGACACCAACCCACACGAGCTATGGTTCTGAGACGACGATTGTCGAACACCTGAAGACGTCTCAGTTCCGCTGCTCGAATAGGCCAAGTGTCACAGCCATACAACAAAACGACCCGTACACACGTCCCTTTAGATTCAGGGATGAACCACTCTGACGCCATAGATGTCTCAAATTAGCAAACGCGGACCGAGCCATGGAGATTCGTGCATTCACCTCATCTGTAACACTACAATCAGAACTGATACAACTTCCAGATACGTAAAACGCTCCACAACTTCCAGTACCTCTCCCTGGATTATAAGTGGCGTGTTCAGTGACTGCACGTCCACGAGCATGACCTTAAATTTTGTGGGTGCAAAGTACATACCAAAGGACGGGATGACTTTGGTCAGTTCATCCAAAAACACGCCTTCTCCTGCTCTTCGAACATGAGAACGATGTCGTCTGCATATTCCACTGTCTCAAAAGCCTCCCTGGTATCAGGTTGCTCCGACGAGTTCCTAACGAGATAATTAGAAAATGGGCACCTGATTGTTACCAGCTACCAACGTTTTCCTCTTTAGAGCACCTGATTGTGTTTCAGGCAGTTCGGTCGCGCAAAACTTTGAGCACCGTCACCTGCGGTAGCTGAGCCAAATCATCCCCTACGCAGACTAGTGTCTTCCTCAGTGCCTGTTTATGAATGGCACAAACTTCGAGATGGAGGACAGTTGACTTGAAAGGACAGCGTGGAAGAGATCAATAAGAGTTTGGGTGTTGCTTGTCCGGTCCGCTTTTCGGAATGTGCGTCCATGCGCTTGGCTGGGAAGGTTGCCAGTAACGGCGATGTCAGTGGTGTTCGTGTTGTCAGTTTTGCGATAGTGTTGTTGAGCGTCTGTAGATATAGGACCCTCAGAATGATTGCATTCGGTTATCAGCAGGTCCCTTCCCCTTGCAATTCTTTCTCTTTCACTTTTGAGTTTTAAATCTAATCAAAATAACTTTTTGGTTATACGGTACTGAAAAGTCACCGCCAATAATGATGTTGCTCTCTAGGATTACGATGATGATGGTGATGATCATGATGATACCGACGATGATGATGGTGGCGATTGTTGGGTTTTATGTGTGGAATATGGCCCGCTCCCCGCAATTGCTAAAGTAGTCTACTGTCCTGTTTCACTCTGATAAAACCACTTTACGACAAACTCGTGGGAACTGCCAACGAAGGTTGTAAACTGATTGTCCTCGTTCTGCTTGGTTAGTGAAATCAAAAGCACATATCCGTTGTGAGGGGGGCATTTTGTGCTGGTGGTCATCCTGGTGGCTCTTTACTTTACTTCGACCCATCTTTTAGATTTACTTTTAGAGAAGGATCAGACTGCGCCCAAGAATGTATTCCTCAACGATCGCTTCGGGAACACCACCAGTTCATTTAATCGACCCTGGCGTTCTGGTACGCTGTATACTCAAAGTGTCTCATCAGTGCACAGTTTATGATAGTCATGCTATAACTCAGAAGGTATATACGCTAATAACAGTTTTTTTACTATGTTAGATAGTAGTTTACGATTAATAGTTGCACCATGATAAAATAAATCCAGTGCAAACAATGGAATAAGTCAACAGGTGACTTATCGTTTGTGGATAACTCGTGAGAGTTTCTGAGTGAATTCCGGACGGCGGGTAAATATTTTCTCTGCAGTATAGCTGCTACACGTATTCCTTAATTGTTCGTGGATTCAGAGGATTTGTTTGACTCCCTGCCCCCTGCGCGCGCGAGTGCGTGTGATGACTGTATCCTGTCTTCCTATTTATACGAAGGTTTGACGTGTGTATAATACCTAGAATTGTTCCGATGCGTACAAGACGGGAACTGACCTGTTGGTCTAGGTTGTTGGTCAGGGCTTTGTCACGTGATTTGTGTGTTTGCGGAACAAATTAGTCGCGTGATCTAGTGAGCATGGATGTACTGGACAAATTAAGCGAAGTTGGCTGAAGGAACAAAGGAATGACTACTACAGTCTACAATTGCTCTGTTCTCAGACGTGACGGTCGCGCAGCTTAAAGATTCTCGTTGCCACGAGACTGGATTTGGATCTTTCTTTTAAGAAGGTTTGGTTGGTGCTGGAGTACACCTCGCGGTAAGACTATCTAACTAACAGATGTCTGTTATGGTGACTGAAGCGATTGCACAGAGTGATGGGGCCCGTCCACGTGACAGACTACTTTGAAGTGGTCTGTCTGATAAGGGATGCATATACGGCACAGACCTTGACTAATCATCTTTAGGCCAGGATTAATTCACTATGGTTCCTTCGGAAAACGTATCACCTAACAATGAACGGGACGCTTAGGTCTCATTTTCAAGAAGACTAGAAATCCATGCATTCGCACTCCAAGATCTGGAAATATTTGACTGGAACGGAGGCCATTAACTCCTCCGGCCAATAAAGTTGTCCAGAGCACCCTATATCCAGTGAGATGCAGCCGTTCGAATTGAAAAGCAGGAGGTTCTAGTGTGTTTTTACGGATCCTGCAAAATGTCATTAGTGAGCCATGTCCTCTCTGAATCACTCAGCAGATCGTTGGCAATCATCGCTCATTGCCTTAATATCAACGTCTGCCCATGTGGAGAACCGGATCCAATCCTCCTACATTACAAGAACCCAGATAGAACACACACGTACTTAGGTGTCGACTGGTTTCTTTCACAGGGACGTAAAATGTGCAGATTCGATAGAAGAATGCGTTAGTGACAAAGTTGTGAGAGTCAGATGTTCTGGACGCACAATGGTGTTATCATTGCCAAATTCAGAGTGGCGCAAGCAGAAATATGGCAAACCTTTCACCTGGCAGAGGGGAATGGAAGAGATTACGAAAAATTGGGTGCTGTCTGTGCGAGTCGACTTCCAGTATAAAGACCTCGTGATACCACTGTAATTGGTTGGAGACGCTGTAAGACGCGGCTTCTGGTAGATGTTTGTGGCGTATTGTTGTCAGTTTCTATCCAGATAGTCTGAATGAGTGTCAGAAAGTGTGGATACCTCAGAATGATTGTGTTAGGCTAGCACCAAGTCCCTTCCCCATTCACTTTCATTCTTCACAACAATGCTTCCAACTAAATTATGGATGTACGACAGCAAAGCATCAGTGTTGAACACTGACGTTATGATGTCGACGATGATGATGACGATGTTGGTGTTGATTACATCGTATTACCATATAACGCGCATCTCGCGTGCGCGTTCCTACATTATGATTCCTTTTTGAATTGCACTTGTCAGAAACCTGAGTGGTGCTGACGCCAATCAATGCTGCACTCAATAGTTGTGTGACTCGTCAAACTCATCGATCGTCGCCTTACAGGTTACCAAACTAACAGGGTGTTGCACATCATCGGGAAATCTATCAGTTAATCTATCTCGTTTTATTTGTGGTCTGTTTCAAAAGTTGGTGAGTAGACGATGAAGTAACTTCTACAACACAATGATGTTATTTTCCCTGCATTCTTCCAGACTGATGAACCGGATCCTATCAGGCTGACAGAGGTTCCATCAGAAGGTGTGTTTCTTGTTGTTTGTCAGTTGCATGAACTACAAGCGATCACGGTTTTTATGCAATATTATTAGATGTCCCTCGTCTGCACAGCAGTGGTTGTACACCCTGTTCCTTTTGCTCGCGACTGCTGACCCGTTCATCACGGCTTTTTATGTCCGTCATCATTCGGATTAGCATCCAAGACCAAGCAGGGAACTTTCGTGTCTAAGTGGATTGTTCGATTCTGTTTGGGTGAGATTCTGACCGGTCGCTACTGTTTTGCAGTTAGTGTTTCTGCCGGTTCCTCGTAGAGTTGTCTCATCAACAAGAAATTTGATTTTATTCGGGCTACCTGTATCCATACTGTAATGCACATAAACGAGTACCATAAACCCATGCTATTTACTCAGTTTGTAACGAAGTCTTCGGGTCCAGGCGCCAAAGCGATCTACACGTTGTAGTGGCGTATTTGTGGCTGAAATGCTAGAAATATCATTTGTGACGCCCGTTCAATGCGCAACAACCGTGCAACTCATGGGAAGCCCAAAGACAGTGCTGCCAAGTTTTCCGGGCTTAAACGGGGACCCTTGTGTCCGGAACTCACAGGCTGCCATGTTAAAATGATTCTAAGCGACGGACTTGGATTGAACTAACAGCTCCAACCTTCTGATGTAGTTCGTTCACGTCCTCATACACATTTATCCTACAAGGTAGCAGCAATGGTTACCAGTGCTAATTACACTGTTATCTGCGTTGCTAGAGGTCCTTTGATGATTGAAGCTCTTCTAGCGAGGTGGCTCTCATCACTTGCTAAGCCTAGTTCCACTCCAGTGTATTGTTTCTCAGAAACCATTTTTTTCGGTAAACCGAACAATCTCCATACAGTGGTTTTGGACTTCTTGAATTTGTTTATGGCAGCAACAATGCCATTGCTCGGGAGTTGTTGCATAGTAGTTGTCTCGTAGACCACCATGGCAGTACATCCCATAGCACTGACAAAAACTTTCGTTCAAGAGAGGGAGTTATTTGGTCTCGTTGCCGGGGTCCAGACACCACATTATGGCGAGCGAAAATTGCTCTCTTTCATGAGAGCGCCTTCTCTGTGGAGGCAGCGAAGTCGTCAGTGCTTCAAGCTCGGCGAACAGGTTGACTACCACTAGGTCAACAGCCAGTTGGTGCACCCGAGCTACCACCATTTTTAAAAATTGCACTATAGATTTGTCTAGAGTCTCGTTGAAACTGAGTCGAGTACTTTTTGTGCCGGATGATATTTTCCGCTTTTCTAATCCCAAGGCCTTGTTTTGCGGAGAGGACTGTGCTGCTCGTAAAGTGAGGTGACAAAATATCCTCTGGGAAGGGTATGACGAGTTTCCTAAACCGGATTTTCTGTTTAAATTTTTCTGTAACGAATTCACCCACTTGGGAGGCCGGGATGTTGTTCGATTAGGTTCCACTTAGTACAAAGCTTCTCCCCAATATCCAGTTGTGTTAATGATGGATGATTTATGTACCTTCCCCTTGCATCACTGTGTCTGCTCGTTGGGATTTCGGGACGTCCATCCGTATTTTGTAGTACGTGATTTGCATGTCGATGCTCCTTTTTCTCAACTGCCATGCGCACTGGCAACCGTAGAGAAGTAATCAGGAATACACTCGTGTGTTCCTGATGGTGTTATGTCATCCCGTAGTTTGCTTCTATCTTCCCTTCTCGAACCAGATGTCTCCTTCCCGGACAACGCCAAGCAGACTGGTGCAACCTCGTCAGAACTGCCGTTGGCACCACCATGTGCCCAATACGCCGTTGTGGTCCCCATTAAATCTGAACCAGATTCAAAAGGCGAAGGTGCATACACCCTTACTTGTACGACAAACCAGAACATTGTATCATCCGCAGTTTTTTGGCGCTGTTCTACCCCCGTTCCTTTGAACAGTGCTCCAGCAGAAAATCCTCTGTCGCTCCTGCTGTTCGCGCAACCAATGTTGAGCAGTTCAACTAATTACCCCAAAAGCGAACAAGCAAACAAAACATCCTCGACAGAAGCTGGTAAGTGACTGCTACTCACTCACCTCACCCTCACCTATTTCACTCTTGGTACACCCTAACCCCCTCCCTTGTGTCCTCTTGATTGTCAGGATCCCTTGAGGCGGAAACTCCAGCCGTTGTCGCACCGGATGATGGTTCGCGTGACGATTCGGGATCACATCCCACAGAGGCACCGAGCTGTTCCACGGTAAGTGTAATGAAGATATGTTTTGATGGTTCTCGTTTTCCTTGTTTCCTTACACTTTTAGTCCCTTTCTTTCAGAATATTAACTTTGGGCGGAAATTTATCGTTGGACGTTCGTGTATTGGGTTTTGGTGACCTTTCTTGTTTCAGACATCCTTTGCTAGCATTCGGAGTTGAATAGGCTTTCTGGCATGCATGATATCACCTTGCTTGTTGACGAAACATTTGAACCAAAACTGCCATGCTCAGTGAGCAATGAAACACGACACATGATTGTGCCTTGTTCTTTCAGCCGGTGTGTTTTTCTGTTCGATGCTACACGTGAACGATCTGGGACCGTACACATCCACCCTCTGCTCTTCTCTGCCTACACTAGACTGAAGGAAATACTCAACCTCTTTTCGAGAGAATTTGAAAGCGTGTGGTGTACCCGGTGGAGCCACATATGGGGACTCAAATCCATCTAAATTCACCTCAAAGTAGGGAGAGGCGAGTAATGTTTCTGAACGCAAGTAGCTGCATTGCTCGCCTGCTAGCTTGTTCGCCGTGGTTGACAAACGCCTCTTTACCAGTCTGTATGGTTTTCAGAGTACTTGGCGCTTCTGTCACTTGAGGCTGTTCCGTGAACCGTTTATTTCCGGCCAGTTTGAGCTTATCCGTCTTTCCGTACGGCTGAGTGAACTCAGATTGCGCTCAGAACATACCAACCTATCGTACTCTTTTTCATACCCGGCCAAGTCTGCATTGCGGTACCTTTGACTTGTCATGCTATCCAAAGTTTTCTGTGCGAAACAAAAATTCCGTCTGTGACTCATATGGTCAAGCCAATACAGTTTGTAATGTTCCATTCAAAACGCCTAACAAATTACCAGTATACCTAAGGTGTCGTTTTGAACTCACAGATTACAGTCTCTAGTAGCCATTTTCCCGAGACTTTGGTATCTAAGTAAGCCAAGATTCAGAGAAAACAATGCTAGTTTATATTGATAGGGATAGTAGATTTGGAAGCCTCCGGTGACTGCCACAGTAACCACTTAGCACGGGTACCTCGGGAAAATAGGGTATTTGGTTTAGGTTGACAAATGGCCTCCCTTCGAAGGGATCGCTTACAAAAATGTGGCTGATGGAGTGGGGGTGCTATCTTGAACTCTTCAGGCGAGTTACGTTTCTTCGGAGGCGTGCCATCCAGTTTCCTGTTATTTCTACTAACCCGATCAGAATCCAACACCGTAAGAATCGATATTTAGTATGGACAAGTTTAGATCAAGTTTTGATCAAGTCCGTGACTAATTTCAACCCTTTTTACGTATCCCGACTAGTTACGTCATTCTTGTAGCGTCGCCGTGGTCTCTGTCCTTGTGCGCACATCCCACAGTCCGTATCTTCATGACAGAGAAATAGGCATGGAAAAGCATGGGCGTGAGCGGACAAACGTTATGTAATGAGCAGCTCTGTCTTTTCAACAACTTCAACTTCCATGCCTGGCAGGTTGAGGGTTCGAAACTCTGAGTTTCGTGAGACGCGCACTGATGATGATTCCAGGTTGAGGGTCGAAACTCTGAGTTTCGTGAGACGCGCACTGATGATGATTCCCAACAAGGACAAAGCAGCTTTACAGTGCTTCTAGGATTTTCAGCACAGATTGGCTTTACTGGCGGGACGAAATCTCAATTGAAAACTTGGATGCCGTTTGATTCGCCTAGAAATACATCCGAACGAGAATCCGGACGCAGTGATCGGGGGAAGCAAGATGTGTGGATCTGTGTATTGCAGTGTTGTTGCTGTTGTTGATGGATATACAGTCCAGTTGAACGCGGGGTCTTGTAGAATACTTCACAATTTTAGTGTTACCGGAAGTCAGATCTATTTCAGTTACCAACACACTTACAGATGGAGTTATGTGCACCTTTTTCAAGCTGGGGGAATCTAAATCATAGTAGCGTGTCTCAACCTCATTCAGTGAGGTGTCTTGGCATTATCCTCACACTCACCAGGGACCAAAATAAAGGTGTCACATTAGAGTAACTCAAGGGGTTTGCAGGTTAAATGCCCGCAACCCGTATATTCCCACCGCGACGTTTTTGTCTGTCCAGATGGTTGACTATTCTTATACACAATGAATGCACGCGAAACTCAGACATTTCACGGCATCAGGGTCCTCTAGTCAGTCTGGTATTCAATGAGCGCAGCTCAGTGTCTATGGTCAGTCCGGAAAATCTCAATATTTTTTTATAAGAGAATCACTGATGCTACCTGATGCCGCATTGTCAGCGCCTCTGAACAAGCCGACCGACAACAGATGACAAGCGCTTTCGGGGCAGCCCACATTCTCAAAAGTGTATGAACGTGGTTAACTCGACTTCCGGGTACTGTCATCAGTTTTTTATGTAGCCTTATCATACAGACATTTGCTGCACCAAGTAATTCATAAAAACGAGTCCAATTAATGCTGCTTGATTGCAAACTGTTCGACAGCACGCGACCGGTTTCGCCATTCTTGGGTAAATACTTTCATCGCAGTTTTGGCGTGAATGGTTGGATACTTGAGAATAGATTCCTGCTTATTGAGCTTGTCTGTTTGCGTAGCTCTGAAAGGAATGTGCTCAGTTCTGATTGGTTCTAAATTAAGGGTAACGCTGACGAAACATCATGGAGCAGATTCATAACATGCATGAGTCATTTCGTAATTCACACCGATGACGCTTGGTTTGACACAGGTTAGCGTTCTCACTCCACAGGTTGTTTGGTGTAGAGAGTACGGTCGGTATGCGGCTCCCATTCATCACTCCCGAGACATAACTGTGTATTTAGGGTGACGGATGACAAACAAAATTCAAAAATGTATGACGCTCATTATTTGGCATATTTAGTATACGGGAACCAACCCGAGAGAGATCCAACGAGAACCAACCCTGCGCTTAGCATTATCCTCAGGAGGTAGATGTTCACATTCATATCAGGCAACCAGACACAGGGGTCTCGGCTTTTAATCGGTAACAAGTGAGCAAAGAACATAATTCTCAGTATTTTCTTCACGTTAAAACGTCCAGATAAATTTCGTAAGACTTGACGATAGACTCCAGACAGTGAAATGCAAAGTAGCATATAGCGCAAAATATTGTAGTGACCGTATATAAATATACTTGACTACGAGGTGGTAGTCAACCTTCTATTCGATCACAAGGACGTGACAGTTAATCACCCTATCTGCACTGGCTTGTCAAGGAATTTCTTTTCATAATAATAATAAGGCTAAACGTATCAAACAGCCCAAACTAAGGTGAACATGTGACAAGTGTTGGTGTTAGTTAGGACGACGTGAGAAGGCTCGGAGGATCCATTTGAATTAGTGCGACTTCGGGAAATCACGGTGCATATCGAGTTTGTCTTCGTTTGTGCGATTTTTGTTTCCGGGGTTCGTTGTTCGTGGTCGGCACCTAGTCAGAGGTGTCTTGTGGAAATCCTGAGTTTTGAGTTAGCACCTATCAAAGAAATGTAAGCCACACAATTCTACACGGTTGTGCTGTCCGTATATTGTAGACTGTTATCAATACCTTAAGGCAGTTGAGAATTGATAAACGTTTTACACAGGACAGACAATCAACTCAAAATACATTCGAATTCCAGGGAATGATGAGTATGGTGTCTGTTGGAACTGGGCTGACGAGTTTAAAGGAATAAGATCGGTTGGTACGTATTACGAGCACTTTCGAATCACCTTGGTTTACGAACAATTGAACGAATCCCGTAAACCCGTCGGTACCAAACGGCCACCAGCCAGAACCTCCTTCACTACCAGATGTATTCCTCTAAATGAATGCTTATTCAACCTCACTAAGGTTTTCTTTGTACGTCGTTTTCACCCCTTTTTTGTAAGTGCGAAAGCAACTTGCTGCAGACACTGCGTCAGCTTGGCAGAACGCCTTTCATTGATCATCTGCAGTTCAGCGAACATGTATGTTCGGCAAGTTTCAACTGGCTTTTACAGTTTCAAACCAATGAGTGAACACAAACGGGAACGGAATCCAGAAATGCTGTGTCGGAAACCGAACAGCAGCAAAAATAAAGCAAAAAAGCGACACGAGGGGCTTTTACTCTTGACTGCTTGGTCGATGGCCGGCTCAGTAGGTTTAGTTGAGTTAATCGTTTCTGTGTAGACAGCGTTGAATTCAGAGTCTGACAGCGATCGATTCGGCTACGCTGGTCGCCAGCAGTCGACCGATTTACCGGAATCGAATGAATGACACTGAATCATTCAGTGCGGTTGACCAGGTGGACGGTATCCAATGGACGATTCAAAATTAGACTGCTGCTTGACGAGAGTTTTGGTTAGTGCTGTTTAATCTTACGTAATATGCCCCTTGTCGCTCGATTGATATGGTTTTTGAATTACGCGGGAACGACTGTATAGGCAGTCACTGAGGAGTTGGCGACAGGTGACTCGTGCCTGCACATTAGTGAATGTTTTGCCGAGTGACTCTGAAACGCCCCTGAAGAGAAGCTGCACATATCTTTGCTTTTCTTAGTGATGTATACCTTCTGGTAAAGTTCGAAGTTGACGATTTTTTCGATCTTTTGCCATAGTTTCGAATTCCTTGTCTTTCCAGCTGAACGAAACCGCCTGGCTCTCTTCACTGGACAGGAACGGAAGTTTTGTTTTTAGGAAGTAGCACCCCCAAGGTCACCATCGGTACGACACGTTCGGAAAGCAGGTGCGTTGGCGGAGCCCACCAACCACGGCTTAGCCACATGAGACCGGTAGAGTGGGGCTGAAAGTGTTCACGACCGGAACACCGCCATTGGCTGTACACAACGAACAAGTGAACGACCATATTTGGCCATTTAGTCATCTTATATATTTTCGCGAAAGCTCTGTATGTTTTGTCCTGACAACACAGCCGTGTCCCGAGCTCTGTCTTCTCCTTATAGCGTAATCTGGCAGGCTCAGTGCAGGCGTAACCAATGACGGTCACGCACGATACAACACCAACCAAAAGGGGTTCTTGTGATAAACCTGTGGATACGTGTTGTCTGTAGAAATGCTGGTGGACTGTACGGTGAATGTACGCAAGAGTGCTATTTCTTTTAGGAATATGGTAGGGGTGTTAAATTCGGTCCTAACACCATCATCAGGGATACGTTATCGAATTGATAAATCACGTCAAATCTTACGTCCCCGAATCGAGTCAACATCATCCAGATGAAATATTTACACGTTACTGCCCCTCAATCAAAAATCCCCACTCACCTCACAGATAACCCCACGGTCCACTTCGCTGCAGCACAAAAGTCTGCCATCTATTTTTATTTCATGACTCTCAGATAAGAGACCGATGACAATTTAGGTCGATAAATCTACGCCAATCTGACGTGGACTGGCCAGTACGTAAATCCTAGTAGTTCCGCTAATTCTTCACGCGAGCAACACGTTTGTTCGCGCGTGCTTCACAGACTATGTATTGGTCTTTTGACCCGGCCAATATCACTGAGAGTCAAGCATCACTATCCAGAATCTGGGAATGTGTAGTAGGAGGTTAAGTAACAATACAATCGTGAAGCGCTCGCAGATTGATCCCACTGTATCACTCAGCATCATTTATTGGGTTCCTATGAGTAGGTCGAGATTAGTCTGACTGCTGACATCGGACGTGGCTAAATCAATCCCTACCACACTACTGACTTCAGTAGTTGGTTCAATCCAACGTTATGTTCACAGGATATTAACTCAACCGAACCGACGGAGCCACTCCTATCTCCCGTACTTACTTCACTCTTGCCACCGTCTCATTTCTAACTGCATTTTTGCATTATCTTTTTGTCTGTGTTCCCTCATTGGTTTACCTGTAAACCCAATTCGAGTCCTGCCGGCAGCACGTGTGTTCACTGAATTCCATTCCCTTAATACAATCGGAAATACACTGTACGCCCATCTTAGAACCGGTAGTGATTTTTACTTCGCTGCGGAGTTGTCTATTAGGAAATGCTAACTGACCGGTTACAGACCATTGAACAGGGAAGAAAAACTCCAATCTGCATCTTAGTTACAAAAACTGGACACCGAACTCCTCCCGAACGAGTGTTCTTGAACTTTCCTGGAGATTCATTGACTCCACTCATTCGTCGGTCAAATCCAAGCAACTGTTACAAAGTGGCTCCACGAATTCCGCAACAAATCTCCCTTTTTCAATAGACGCAAATCAAAATGGTGTTACCATTTATGTTCGGGGTCGCCATCCGATTTCTGCTAACGCTTTAATGGAAAGTTTAAGCCAGTAATCAATTTGAGCACGAGATCATCTGACTTATGCACCCACATGTTGATTACTCGCGCTTCTGCTTCTGTCGTGCGTGACTTGATCTCCCTATCTTACTCCTTCAGTTTGTACCACATCACAACAAAACCTGAAGACCTATAATTCAAATACCTCTGCAAAAATTAACAATCATTGAAGGTCCAGGGTTTGGTCCATTGATCCAGCTGTAAGAGGCTAAAATACCACTCTTGGGGCAGGAGCTTTTTTCGTACTGTTTTACAATTTTCTGTCCGGCTATGATATAAGGGAGGGTGCAATATCGAGGTTTCCATTGATCAGCCGTAGACAAACCCGGTGGAGATCAATTAACAGAAGAACGAACGTACGTCACTCTCGTCAAATATTTTTTGGTTGAATTTGACGACACTTGCATTAGTCCCTGTGAAAAATATCGAAATGTTCATAATATAAACAGACGAAAGATACAGGTTTTCAGCGTTCGACTTCGTTTGATTGGTTGTGGTTTTCTATTCGCTTCCCACTCCTGCAGACTGGTTTAGTTCAATTACGCAGTTCATCCCGTCTTTAGGTATACACACTCACTGGTGGGTATTCTAAAACATCAAAACCTGTGAAATCTGATATTCTATTGAATCTCACACCTTGTGTGAGGACTGTGCTCACAATTGGCTGTGGACTTGAAGACAGCCACATTTGTCAAAACTTTTGCGTTGCGCTGACTGGGTCGGCTATTTGGGCTCGAACTACGTCTGATGCGGTTCACTTCAGGTTTTCCACCTTGAGGTATGTATCTCAAATGCAGTGTTTCATTAAGCAGAATAATACTTCGAATTAAGTGGTATGAGACGATTACTCAAAATTCGCAGACAGCCCACTTCCGGTTTCACCAGACGACCGTTGTTCCTTTGAAACTGAGGCAATCGATCACTGACGTGAAGAGCCATTTGGCGGAGTTTATACTTTATCGCTGGTGTATATGATGAAATTGCTTGAGCTGGAGATCCGATAAAGTCCCGTTGTACTTGATTTGAAAACAAGAGAATCGTCGTTGAGTATCTCTATAACGGAACCTCAAGGCACATTGTGCACATTATACGCAAGAATATCAGTGTACAATTGATCTTTAGGGGCGCCATGCAGTCTCTAGCTCCAGCAATCTCATTATGCTTATGAGTTTTACAGAACAACATTGATGGTGTTTTTATTTGGTTTTGCGGTCTGGGTTTTGTTCTTCAGGAAACCGATAACCACACACTGCCACGTCAACTCGGTCCAACTACAACCACCTTTCACATGTCTGTCGTCCATTCTGGTCTGTTTTCACCTTTTCGGTCACCACTTACGGCAGACGAATCATGGAACTCGCCTTTAAACCCTCATATTTCCAAAGTGTGTTCTGTGGCAGTGTTTAATAGATTTCGCGGAGTCTTTGACCACTGCATAATATTCATCTGTGACCGGAAGGTCCGTGGTTCGAACCCGACCTCTGACTCTCGACTTTCCCTGTCTAGGCTTGGTCAACCTGGCAGTATCCCAGCCCTCGTGCAACCTCCGTGTGGCATGGCAGCTAAGCACCGGAAGGGTGCTACAGCTAACGATGTTTTTGCACAAGTACTGAGCCTAAACCTTTCCCCTCTGTAATGCCGCTCTAATGTTACCGGTATTCAGCGCTAAGCACCGAAGGGTGCTACAGCTAACGATGTTTTTGCACAAGTACTGAGCCTAAACCTTTCCCCTCTGTAATGCCGCTCTAATGTTACCGGTATTCAGCGTCTTTCTAGTGACTTAGAATGTTCCTGTTTTGTGTAAGATGACTGTTATCTCGATCCACTTCTTGTTGGGTGTTGATGTTGGGCCAATGCCCACCTTACCTCTTTATCAAACCCAGTATATACCCGCTTTCTTGAAGTATGTTTTTCCCGTCAAATCGTGTTGATTTTCGGTCGACGTCTTTTGTGCACAGCGCTCTTATTCGACGAAACACAGCTAACTTTACTAGCATGTAATGCTCTCGGATGGATTGATTAGTGGTTCAAGAAGATACGAATGTCCGTTGGTTTCCGATAAGCAGTAGTTTTTAATTTTCCACCACTTCTATTTGGTGTACTGTCTAGCAAGGTTAAGAATTGCGAATTCCAGATGCTGGGACATTGGCAGAATTCTTCGATATCAGCACGCGTGATGACGGAAAGCGTGTCATTAACGTGGTGTCATTTATATTTCGAATGATTTGGGGGATGTGTATATTCAATACTGTCTGTTCTTTTGAGCCTGACTGTCTGCTTTCAGTAGGGTTAGCTGTGTTCTCTGAGGCTGATGAACATCCTGCCCTAATGTTCCTCCCTTCAGGCTGCCTCTGAACTGTCTCCCACCAAAGGAGAGCCAGCTGTTTCTCCTACCCAGGACATTGCAACCCCGGATGTAGAGACGTCTTCAGTCGGCACCAGCCTGTCCGTACCTTCAACACCACCAGTTGATTTGGACGCGGGAAGAATGGTGAAACGCCGGTCGCGACGGAGGCCAACTCTGAGTCCACTTCGAGTACCAACTCAGCAGTCCAGGTCCACTAGCACAGAATATAAACCAGTCCCTAGGGGCACATTTTTGGATACGCCTGAGGTGGGGACATTTCTCAGTAAGTTCCAGATTTGATCAGTCCGGTATGGGTTTGACACTGAGAAATGTGTTTTCGCTCAGTGTATTCAGGAACGTGGCTTATGCCGTGGTGACAGGCTAACTACTCACTTAAGCAGTATTCGACTGATTCCCAAAACTGGTTACGCCCCCATGCTTGAAAGAACCCATCGCTAAATTTGATGGTCATCCTTTCGTTCTAATACCATTTCATCATTTTTTTCTCCATATGAATCCTATTTGCTTAACAACCTGGTAACAAACCTGTCCTTTAACTCATTCACATGGTGACGGTTCTGATTATGTTGTTTGATGAAATGAATATTTAAAAGAGGCAAATACTCTGTCTCTGATAACTTACATGAACCCTGAGCGGATATCACTGTTCCGCTGATATTCGGGCCACAAATGGCTGTACACTGGTTCACATGCATAACAATACCTCGGAAAATGTGAGCGTTTGGCAGCGTTGCTATCATTGATATATATTTCTGTCCCACAGCTCCTAACATTTTGGTCCTCTCTCTCTCTCGAGTGAGAGAGACCGTCGTGAATACTTTACGACTGCTTATCTCTTCATCCGTCGACTGGCGTTATATTCCAACCACAACGGGGCCATCCCTCAAGAGGGGCCAATTGTTCTTTTCCATGGCGATCTCTCTCTCTCTCTCCCCCCACGAGAGAGAGGGGATTATTATTCATGGATTCCGCTGCTTCGTAGTAAACCCTCCTGAGCACTGCCGATGAGTGTCGCGTCAATTTTCGTTGGGAGTTTTAATTCAAAACAACTAGTGCACCACTTATGTTGTGGTGATGTTTCGTGTGCCACCTTGGTGTTCATCTCAACGTATGCCGGTTCTTGTGTAGCAGCCGAAGGCTAAGTGCGCTTGCCTATCTCTGTCCAACATGGATGTAGATTTCACCCACAAGCACCTGATCAGGCTGTCAGATTTCGACTTGCTTTTTACCCGTTTAAAACTATCTGAATGTCCTGTTGTAGAGAAGCTTTCTTTCCTCTGAGCTCTGAGGAACACCGCCCCCACTTCGTTCAACTTTTCCTAGGCCACTTTTGGGGGCATATAGAGGTAAGTCAATCGACGTCAGATCTGTTGACGTAAACTCTACGATTCCAAGGTCACTGGTACTTGAGATCCTACAGACCAGTTACCAGCAGCTGAGTGATGTAACGTAGCATGAGAACGGTATTCTGAAGGTCACTGGTAAAACTTCGCTTGTGGGATGACATCCTCATTTGAAACGCGGACAAATTTATTGACTACTTCACGTTGATATGGGGTAACTGGCTCGTTCAATTGTACCGACTGCATTCCCTTTTTATAGTGTTGCGTGTCGGACTAGCAACGACTTGGTCACACGTGACACGTTTGTGTTCATGTGTCATGCACATAAAACCAACCAATCCACTTAATCCTGTCGTGCGTCGGATGCTACTTTTATCCAGTGAGCGAATTCCAAACCCACTCTGTACCGTTGCATTGCGTTGTCCTGTACCATGACACGTGGTTTTAGTAAAACTAGATTCTCCTATTCTGGACACAGCGAATAACAGTCCCGGCCATGCCTTCCATCTTTGAAGTCTATTCCCTGCGAACTTAAAGCAGATTCAGTTCACTCTAGCTAAATGTGCTTTCAAGGTCATGGTATGAATCCATTGCATCATACGGAAACGGGATCCAACCACAACTTGGGAAACCGTTGGAGACATATGTTGGACGGAACAAGAAACATCTGATTTATTGGATTGTTGCATTTGAAGGTAAACGTTCAGAAGCAATACAAGTCCCTGCGGTGATCTCTACTTGTTTGTTCGCTAACAGGAAACAACAGAGATGTAACTAAGTTATGTTACTCCAAGGAAGCTGATAGCACTCAGAGTTGAATGTCTGTACCATCCAATTGTAGAACCATGACTGGCCGTCCTGTTAGCTTTCCTAACATACGGGAAGATGTTGGCGTCATTCCACACGTATGTGAATAGCCTGTGAAGTGTATCAGTTGCATAACTTTAGTGCAGTCCCTGATTTTTAAGTAATTGCCAGTCGATTGTCTCTATATCCGATGATCCAGTTTCAGAACTGTCTGACTTTGACCGCTTCTTTTTCGAAGCCCTTGTAACCTATTTGGATAGGTCTTGTGTATTTGGCAATGACTGACTCTTTTGGGATCAACTAATATTGTGGTTTTTTCCCACTTGACTAAAAGCTGCCACCTTGAAGTGCTGGTCGGGTTGCAACGCTTCAGTAAGCCTGCGGGCTATACTAAGTGGGATTTCGTTCCTTAATGTTCAGTCATGCCTGGAATGCCCGGGGAGAACAGCCCGGCACAGTGTAAAGAACCCCTCATACTACCAGTGATTGTATTACGATGTGGTCTGGAGCGTTCCTCTCAGGCGACCAGTGTTCATATTGTGCCTTCTTCCAAGGAAGAACGGGTGTCATAAAAACCGCACGCTCCGTTTGGACAAAGCTCGAACGTAACCACTGGCAAATTAGCCAATCCAGTCTAGAAACAATTAAATTTATTCAGGAGCTTGATATGGCTCCCAATGTATCTGATGTGCGCAACGGTATTACGAGTTAGATTTCTACTCCTTATTCTCTGTGAACTTGGGTTAGGCTGGCCTCCTGCAACCAAGCAGATCAGACTATTGAGTCATTGGCTACAGAAAGAGTCCCCCAACGATACCCTAATATCTGCTGGTTTGCTGGTAGAACATTTGTGTGAAAGCTTCCGGTGGAGGTAGCTTAACAAAGCCCTAGATTCTCTAACTGCCGTGTGTTTGGGACTCGTAAAGGTATATCGAAGTAATTGCATACAATACCATTGACTTCACTTTAGAGAGCATCGAGCCTCTTCACTTTGCTTTACTTGACTACGAGTGGCAGAACTCGTTTTGGCTATCCAGTATGAAACGGATGGACTGGTATAAATATTCCCCTGGTGAAATATGATTGTAAATAGTGGTGAATGAGAACATGATCAACATTGTCGTTTTATGAGTTGGCGTTTGCACAATTATCGCACGATTTGCTCTATGTCCTAGTTAGACGTTTGTTACCTATGTGCCGGTGTGTGACGCGTGACCGTTAGAGTTTCACTCCACTTACCTGACAGTGTTCATCGTTACACGAGCTTCGCAGTTATACGATCATCATTCGATATGTTTTGCCTGATGGAAGCGTGTATATGTTGGTCCTTAGCTCGATCGTTTCGGTCTGGCCTGTATTCTAACTGCTGCCGTCCTGCACACAATGCATTCCATAGCAGGATAACCGAGCATGTGTACGCAGCTCGTCCAATGGTTACTTTGTTTAGCAGTGGGGTGACTTCCTTCAACGAAGGCTCGGGTCACCTAGTTCGTCTGTTGCTACCGTTTCTGTGCTCGCACGCTGCGGGCTTCTTGTCGTGTGTGCACGATAAATTTGATGTTCCAAAATTGATTCCAATTTGGTGTTCCACGAATATTTATCTGCGATGGTACAGTTTACCCGAGACGTTTCCCTTCCTTCTGGAACAAAAAATATTGTTAATGATTTGCTTGGCTCTGTAACCATTCGACCTGACACAAGGGGTGGCGAACTCCGAACACATCTGTCGCTCACCTGATCCCGTGTTTCCGTGATTACAATGCATCTTGGCGTGATAACGGCAGGTTTCCGCGTGAAAAGATTTCAAAGTTCCATATTCGTAGTGTGTCCTGCAAGTGAAACCCATTCACCCTGTTACTTCAAGGATCACCCTACCGGTTTCATCTTAGCTGGAAACCTTGGTGGGATTTCGAGTTCAGTACGATTCAGTGTAGGTTTGCTGTTCAGTAGTTTTTTAAACTTGCTTTTAGATATCCATCGTTATGCCACACAAACTTAGTCCAAACTATTTGGTACACTCAATTCCCCTTTTTCAACAAATTTTTACCGGAGGAAGGTTAATCGGGCATGTGGGCTGTTTACATTTCTGATAACAGTATATGCATTTTTGAGTAGTATGTTCTTGTCCGACCGTCCCACTTGTATCTTTTGACGCGCTGTGTCAAGTGCAGTGATTCTGTTTTGATCCAACGCAATTACGGTTAATACATTGAGGGTTCTCGCCCGAAATCGATGTGTATCAAGTAAAGTGTAACTCTAAAACTGCCTGGTCACGTTATCATGGACCTATGCAAGGTGTCGGTGCATATTGTGATGTTTATCACGGAAAGCGTTTGTTTAAATTCTATCCAGTGTGTGGGGAGTCGTATATCAAGCATATGGCCTGCATTTTCTATCAAGCTCTCCCTCACTTATTCCCCAACTTGCAGAAAATTTGGAGGTTTCTCAGTGTCCTTTGTACGGAGCAGGGACGGATTCATCGCTAGTCGATCCATCATACAGCTATCTGAGCCACTTATGGTCCGTCTCCCCGCTAGTCACCCGCTCTATGTTGGCCATCACGGATCCGTTGGACCAAGCCTCCAATTATCTTCGACTGAATCTGGCTAGTGCAAACGGCGGACATTTGGCCAATATACCCATGCCAAAAACTCCCACTGGTGGTCTGGACACCCCAGTTGTAGAACTCCCGTTTCTTGTTCATCGTGAGTTTCACTCATTAACGTCCACCGTCTGTCCGTTTCTTTAGCACACTCGACGGGTTGGCTGATCGTTCAACTGTAGCCCATAGCCAAATAATTCTTCATTACATCCATACTGTGGTGGAAAAACATTCTCTTCACTTGGAACCACTGGTCAGTGGTGTCACCTTATTAGTTGGTATTCTTGTTTGCGACTTTTCTGGCCTGTTTACATTCTGTTAAGTCTGTTTGTGTGACAGTCCCAAGTGATAGTACTTGGGGGTGACATGGGAAAACCAAGCCCGCGAATCAACGAATCTCTGAGTTCATGGATATGAAGGGGATTTTCAGTTGGAACACGCTAGTCCATGAAGTCTGCCAGCGACGATTTTGGCCGTCTTGTTTCTGAAATACCCCATATGCCCCTTTGATCTTGATGTGTCACCCACAGTGCTAATTTCGCGAACTTTGTAAGAAGACTGCAAATCGCTTCTGTCATCCGCTTATATGATGCGGGAAACATATCGAAAGGATTAGATCCGCGGAATATCAGGTCATCCGTATTCTCACCAGCAGATTTAGGGAGCAAATGGCTACTGTATGAATCAAGTTAACCTGACCGTGCGAACGTTTTGTTCAAAGATTTGGGCGATGGATCGATAATAGCCTAAACCCTTGTTCTACCATCATACCTGACACCAGCATAACGTCACAGTGTCATGTGGCAGATAGGCATGTGGCAATTCAGTACACATGATTCACTTCGTCTGTCTAAGTGTGGTGTCGTGCAGTAAATCTACTCGCATATAACATATAACCACAATGTTTCATTTATGCCTCTCGTTTTTCGCGCTAGCTGAATCGCGCTTTCTGGTTCCCGCGTGTCATCTCAATCAGATCGCTGGCGGAAACAATGGCTCAACCTCTACGGAGAAGACCACTTGACGCCAATCCCATCACAGTCTTCCATTGTGAATAGTCTTATTTTTTCGAGCACTTTCCTATTTCAGTCCAACTTAGGTACACATATTTTGCACTGGTTCACATTTTCCTGGTGCAAAGGTCATGTAGTTGGGGAAAAAAACGTTCAGCGCCATTCATTTTTAACAATTTGTTGTTTGTAATATCCCCAGCCCACCTAACATTTTTTCTCGTTTTCCGCATCTCCCCATTTCGTATACAACTATCGCACCAATAATTTCCGTTTGAATGAAATATCGCTCCGGTGTTCAGCGACATTAATTCGTGATTTACTCCATACCTACCACCTTTCTATTTTCCACGATTTATCGAAATTCGTCCATCCGGAGATCTCGTTCGTTTTATTTCTTTACTGGGCGTCTACTTTATGAGTCATGTGGTTGTAAGTCACTCCACAAATCTGACTTCATGCTAACGGGACGACATGGCTCAAGTAGTTAGAACGCCTATTTATTGACCGGAAGGTCCGTGGTTGGAACCCGGCCTCTGCATGCATCCTTCCCCTGTCTAGGCTTGGGCAACCTGGCAGTATCTCAGCCGTCGTGCTTCCTTTGGATGGCATGTCAGCTAGGCACCGAAAGGGTGCTACAGCTGAATGATTTCTTAGTTTAACGAAGTGATTGATGGCCCTTATCCACTAAATTACTACCCACCCCTTTGCAGTCACAAGTGGTCATATGGTCCGGCGAGCCATCTGACTGTCTGAACCGTCTTTATTTTCGTCATACCCATTATTGGCTTCATCAACAGCCAAAGGTCAAAGTACTTCTTCTTTAGATATGCACGAATGAAAGTAATTGCATAAGGACAAAGGGAGAGCCGTTCAACCGGGTATTCAACAGCGCGTAGCTACCCAGACCTCTAGTTACTGAGATGAAACACTCATCAGGAGGGAGATAACAGGCAGTTGCATCTGTCATGTTGCAGCCTACTGGACGTCGCAGTCGAGACTGAAAATCAATGGGGCTTCATATCTTTCCTGCTACCGACTTTTCGAAAGGTACGGTTCGCATCGGGCCATCCTGCTGGTCCCGTGTTGCGCTGAGCTTATTGTCTAGTGTAACTTTTTCATCACAGGCCTGGCGGCCCGTATTGACTCGTCTCACAGATTTGTTCGGTGTTTCCGGTTGTGGATCAACAACCACCTGATCTACAATCAGTTAACGTAACCGAACTACCAGTGTTTCGATATACTACCAACCCAGTGTTTAGTTAGTCCTCTTTTGATGCTATAATATGTAACCACCAGCTTGCGGGATCTGAAACCAAAATTTCAACAATTTGGGACATCGTTTACATCCAGTTTCTACCCGTTCCACAGCGTGCACACCTTTCAGTTTATGGTTGGTGAACCATCATCCCCGATTCGTGTTTTGCGGACTTCAAAACGAAATTTTCTCATTACAAAATCTGCTTATAAGTAGCAAGCATAAACACCTTAGGTTACCGACGATACTTGGCTGCTGTCTCACGGCTTCATTCCAGGGGTGGGGAATAAGGCTTTCAAGGTAAAGTAGTTCCTAAAGAAGTCAGTTGACGGCAAACCTGTGATGTCCACGTTCACCTGGCAAGTCCCAGAAAACAGCGGGCTAATTGAAGCGGCATAGGTCATATCACTTTCCGCTTCTAATTCGCTTCGTCTTCTGTTTTTTTTCTCTACAACCGACTTAATGCATCTGTTTGTAGCATACGTAACCAACCCGTTATGCGTAGTAATGACTTAAGTAGCCCACGCAAATTATGGGAACACTAAGTTCGAGAGTAAACCTCGTTTTCTGCGGTTGTTCCTTCTGGCTAATACATCGCAAATTTACATGGTACCAGAAATCACTTGCAGTTTTTTTATATGGAGGACATGAGTATATACTCTTTAAAGAGGGTGGGTGGAGCTAGTGCGAAAATATCATCAAAGTAGTGACAGTGTGCTATTGGAGTGCTTAGATTTTTACTTTATCTTACTCAAGAAAAGATTTGTCAGGACGAGAACTAAAGGAAATCCCATGTCCCTTCTACCAAATCTGATTATTAAAAATTAAGTGAATATTGTGGGTACAAAGTAATGGTACTCGTCCCTTGGAATTTGTAGTCCATTCTCTGGTAGACGTTCGGGAGAGGATATAGGATTTCTTTCGACCTTCAGATCTGCAGTCTGACTGCCGAACTCAGAACTACCTCTCAGGCTCTGTGGCCGCACTTCTCTCCTGATTGGTTCTAACAAGATAACGAGTTATTTAGCCAAGGCGTGATATAAGTAGAATTAGGCATATCTAGGGTGGGTCTGAGAGGTAGGTCGGGTCGGTTTGCCCATGAGAGACCACAAAGCCGAACAATGGTACTGATATGGAGAATGCGCTCATAGAAAGTCTTCAATGCTTTCCGATATTATTTAGGACTTAATGTTTTGGATGCTGCTTCTTCAATCAATTCCATGTTTTTCTCGGTTTCCACTTCCCTAAATTTGGGTCCGTCTGAGAGGCTGGTGTTCGTCTTATCAATGTGGTTGGCTTTGTCCATCAAGACAATTCTTGTGTTTTATCTGATGTAGACTGTGTAAACTGCTCGTTCTGCTGCAAACTTCTCGGGGCCTCTAAATATTCCCTTACCAAAAGTCGTCTAATTCCAGGTTTGCGACTCAGGTGTTTTTCACTTGACTTTTCTGTGTGATTTTTGGTGTCAAATTTATTATGCATTAGCGAATGTGAGCGATAATAGACAACAAGCTTTGATCGCTTGTCTGCGTCCTTCTCACAATCCGGGATTCTTCCGAAGGAATCAAAGAGAGAGGCGACCGGAAGGGTCAGATCTCAAGGTCATCCGGAATTTAATCAGCAGACAGGCATACTAAGCCCATATGAAAGCTAATCTCAACCACTAATGACAAGCCAGGGTGAACAGACCCAACGTCGGTCGATTGACGCACAAGGCACTGGTGATATCACTTTGATCGATCATAAAATGTAAGTAACCCAATAGTCCGGTTCCACGAGCTGATCAACGGCCGACCGATCAATTCGTGACATTCTTGGACATCCTCGGTTTCATTTTGTCTCGTGGATTTATTGTATTGACCGAGATTCATTCCATCTCAAAAGTGTTGAAATTACTCTGCATTCACCGCAACCGAAATAAGCTGGACTCACTGTGAGGCTTACGCCTCCAGATGATAAATCTCTGAGATTTCCTTTATAACGACCTTGTTTTGCTTATTCGAGTGATACAATACGTTTGACATTCGCCGTGTGAAATGTTGCTTCTCAGTTATGCGGACAGATCTGAATGCATCATACTTATTTCGGTATTGAGCCAAGTGTTTAAAAGCGTGAGTAATAATCTCGCATTGTAGGCAGGGAAGTTGAAACCTAACTGATACAATGAACCATTTTAATATGGAATTATTCATTGGTACGCTTATCGTAGAACGGGATGGTAACTGTAAATCGACAGTTAGCATCCTGATGCCAATGTGCCTAAGTGATTCTTTCAGAGTGCTACAGGCGTCCATCATGAAGGGGACCGCTTCTGATTGGTCAGTCGAAGGATTTCAGGCGTTCGAGAATCTCTTGTGAGAGACTGTTTTCTGTCTCTTCTAGTAAAGGGACAAAGTGTAACGTGAGGCTTGCGGCTGGTATCAGGCATTTTCTTTGACCGTGGCTTAGTTTTATTTGCTTTTATTCCACCTGGGGCGAACGTGTCAGGTGAATACACCTGCGTATTGAAGATGACGGACAGAAGAGGGGTGAACGTCTGCCCATTTACGGTTTCAAGGTATGCTTTTACATTTGTAGATGACGAGAGGTACCAGTGCGTTGGATGGATAAGTTACCCGACCATATCCCGTATTTTGTAGCCATCCAGGTACCCCCACACCCAGTTTTGAGTCGAGGTGTACTTCGTTCGTCGTAAGTGCTTGTTTTTGAGCACTGCAGACACAGTTCTCAAAACAAACTGTCTATTAGTCAGAAACCGCGTTAAATGTCACATCAGATTTTACATATTAGTATCGCAATTTCGCGTAAGTGCTCGCCTTTCGTTTCAGTCGACGCTTGTGTTCTGTCTGCGGGAAATGGTTGGGACAGGGTGCCTGGGCCCCATACGGTACAAACTGATCATTCAAAATGTTCTCTGCTCTGAAAAACGGAGGCAGTCTTTTGAGACTGAATAGTTTTTTTCTTCAGTATTATTAACCTCTTAGGAGAAATCCACCACCCACTGACAGTTTTTCAAGCTTTGATTGCAAGTGTCATTCTGTCTTTGGGAGTGAGTCTTCATGCCATGTGTATTTTCAGATAATTCCAACAGCCAGATAACCGCAACTCCCTCACAGTTGTCACATTCAGCTCTAGGTAGCTTAGTGGTTTGATACGAACCATTGTCAGCGCTTAGCCTTGCTAAAGCTTGATGCCGCTCGAGATAGCTGAATTGTTGAGCTGGTCCATGAGCTTGTCAGTGGTCATTCCAGTGGTCATTCCCGTCCAGAAGACAGTGGACTCGTCAGACTGAGGTGACTATTAGCTTCGTCATACACGGTCCACTACTATCCTCCTAAATTTCCGCAAGTGTTAGTCGTGTGAAGACCATTTCAGCCAAAGTCAGTGGAGTTCCGCTGAATTAAATATAACCGTACTTGTCACGTGACGGCCGATGAGGCATGAAAATTTTAGTTTTGTCCAGCTGTATAGTGACGGAAATAATGTAAAGATGCTCGCACTTAATCAAGAGGTTGCTCAACCAAAGCCCTCAGTTATGCAGAAACATTCCAGGGGAATCGACGAATCCAAATTCCACCCTGAATGGACAGGAGACCAGGTTAGCTTGAGCTCTACCTGCGGACTGATATTGTGATATTGGGTAATCTGTCAAGTAGGTGACTTCCATTGTGGGTCACACTGGTGCACAAGTCGTCATATTACGACAAAATCCACTTTTAACGTGACAGTCCATCCCTTCCTGGAAGAAATCCCAGACTCTGAGACTGACTCTTTTCAATGACATCTATTAGGGGACCCCAAAGACAGTTTGTCAGCCGAACAGTTTCTTATTCGCTCGCTTCTGCAGCCGTTACTCTACTAATACGAATTAGAAGCCCAAGTGTTCTGTACTAACCTCAAGCCAATCGATGGGTAGTAATCAATTAAAGGTTGAGCTGTTGCCTAAAATTAGTCATGGAAGAGCCCGGTGGTCGTCATTGCACGAAGAAAGGCCATTGTGGTTATGTATTTCCGATCTAATTAGATACAAAGTCATTATCCAATTGGAATAGAAGGAAAAGATTTTTTCAAATCTGGTGCACCCATAGTTTCGTCGGATATTTTCAAACAGGTTTTCCAGGATATATGCATTTCTCCATCCCTATAATCGAGCGGAACCTGAGTTTAAATGAAGTTAACCTACTTTTAACCTACTGAAACAAATGGCAGCGACAGCATTGTTTCATGTGAATTAATGCATATTTATAAGGCATCATTTTTAGAGAACTAAGGCCATACAAAAGTAGGCACCGAAAATAGTGAGGCGGTTGAGAGTTGGATTAGGAATAGGAACCGAATAAAATCTCATTTTGTAAGCACACCGAATGTTAAGTTTTGAACTGATAACTCAGCAACAGAAGTACAGCTGCTGGTGACCTGGAATCGCTCGGAGTTGAAAAGTGCCCGTTGTAACGTAATTGAAACGAGACTGTGTCTGCTAACACAAGTTTGTTAGGAAGCAGTAGTAGTAGTTTGCTTGTACATCCCTTCGAGTGACATTTAGCTATCTTTGTACCGTACCTGACTTGTGCCCGTCGTTACGGTTTCAGTGCACGCATTGTTGCCTCCCTCCGGTTTTCTATCCTGCGTCACCCAACTTCTGCGAATGTGTACTTCGTGTGCCGTATGGTTCCAATATCAACAACTTCCATATCTACTCATTTTAGAACCGGTGTGCACTGTCACTACATCCTTGTGAACGTTGAGTGCAGCCGACGTCCTGACTAACCATGCTACACTGTACGGGTGTCGGAAAGCCACACTTAATCACAGACGTTGGTGAACACATGGTTTCAATAATTTTTTTCTTATATCAGACAATTAAAAAAGATAAGGTATCGAAATGTGTAGAGAACTACCAAGTAAAATACGGCCAAACAGCAGTGTTGGTCGGCACTAGACCAAACAGATGGCCATGGTCAGGAGTAGGCTGACCGTGGGAAGAAAATAGGGTGAGAGTGATGGTAGTTAGGTCTGTGATGTGGGGCCGTGTAATTGCGTGAACTCACGGCTGTGTTGAACCTTTAGATTGAGTTGAACCGTTTGGGTACAGTGCTTTTGACAATACATGAATGGGCTACGCAACCCGATGGAAATCGCCTCAACCACGGACGGGGCGAGATGGCTCAGTGGTTAGAGAGCGAATTTACTGACCGAAAGGTCCGTAGTTTGAACCCGACCTCTGCATTGGGCAACCTGGCAGTATCTCATGCCTCGTGCTTCCTTTTGGTGGCATGGCGGCCAGGCACTGAAAGGGCATTACGGCTGAACGATTACCACCTTACATAGATTTGAATTGGTCTTATGGCGTTCTGTAAAGTACCTGCTGTGTTGTGTTGATCGGCTGCACTGCTTAGTAATTTCCTTTTGTTGCCAACACGGCTGGATACCACATAAACATTTATTTTTGGAATGAGTCACCGAGCCATACGTCCAATATACTCTGCAGTGACTGCATGGGAGGTAACATCCTAGCATGTTTTAGGTGTTCAAGCTCTTTCAGCTTAAGCAGTAAACCGAGCGGTCAGCTGAGTACGAAATTTAGATCTCACTTGAATGGTTTCGGCTGTGTCAGAGAGTTCCCGCAGAGTTTACGGCTGAGTCGGTCTGTCAGTAAATCGCCCCTGAGTGGCAGGTATATTGTAGGTATATGGGCTGCATCCCTACTGTGACAACACGAAACCTTGGTGGTGAGGTGCGCATGTTAGCTAAGATACTCCCCGAGAACGTCCTGAGCTAGTAGGACGTCCTGAGAGTAAAGTTTGGTGGTTCCACTATAAATAAGGATCTCTATCATGTGTACATTTTAGACCAAGATGACTTCATGTAGATATGATAATTTATAGGCCCATCATCACGTCCACTGAATCGGACCTCGGGGAATTGAAAGCCATTACGTGACCCTCCTTCTACAATGGTGGTGGACAGATTGGTTAGTTTCAACTATTTTATTACCGAAGTGACTTCGGTTTTATCGCTAACGTCAACATATTGGCGACAGTTACGCACTGAATCAGCGGAAAGTTGCATGAAGAAAGTTTCGGATTTACCACCTAGCGAGGGTCTCAGGGTACAGTCCACAGCGGCCCCGTCAAACTGGCTGTACATTAGAAGAATAAATATAAGTTGTAAGTGAATAATGCAACGAAGCAAAAATCGTTTGGCTAATCGATATCTATTCCCAGTTTGCTGTTGTTAGAGTCAGCTTAATCACATAAGGAGTTAATAGTTCATAACAGAACACATAGGTGGACAAAGTGGGGGCATCAAGTGAACACGTGAGTGGAACTGATCAAAGATATGGGCTCGCATGATATGGATCCACACAAGGCGAACGTATGTTTTATATGGAACTGGGGCAATGTTGATTGCTCGTACCTCTATATTTGACAGATACAATGGAGAGAAGCGTGCATTAGGTCACATTAGCATCAGTAATACGGTGTAATTTTACTTTACTCCCACACGATTCAATCTTAATGACATCGAAGATAGCAAGCTGTAAATATTTGCTCCTTATTGGAGACGTCTTTCGGGAACAGTAGCAAATGGAATGTGGAGTTTTTAACTGTGGCGAATGGCTCTATGGTATATCTTCTCAGGGAATGTATTCGGATATTCAGGTCAGTCAATGCAGATAAACGCAATATGTACAAAATGATTAATGGACAGTGTAACTTTTCAGTCTCCATGAGAGAAGTGAGGGCGCTTGTTCGAGAAAACTGGGGCGGTTGGGTTGGCGTAAGAAACAGTTTGATGCGCATAGCTGGACGAGTAAGTGGGATGGTAGTAATGTAACAGGTACATGCTAGGGGAAATGGGTACAGTAAACCCTGTCGATGGGGATGTCGTTCTTGTGATGTGCTAGTGTAGTGCGTAGCTTGACACTTCTGAGCCGAAACCATCCAGGTGAGATCGAATTATGGCAACCATGATGTGCTGGAGTCCGTGGTGCTTCAAAGAGGCATTGATGGAAGGGTCGATAAGGGAGCACAAGTAAAAGTCAGTCTTAGAGATCCAAGTCAGTGTGGTGACTTATCTAAGCGGCTTCCGGATGTTGGCGATTCGGCGAAAGATTCATTCTTCTAAGTTGAACGTGATCGTATAGCGGTGATTGGGATAGCAGAATTATAGTTTGAGAGGCCATCAGTTGGGCGCATTAGAGTAAACCCAGGACTTTGTGTTCCAGATAGATTACTATTAAAAACTTATGAAAATGGATCAAATAATGCGCGGCCCATTTCTGGCAGGCCTCAAAGTAGGCTAAGCTGAGAAGCCTGTATTCTGGCAACACTTCCGGGGTTTCTGAATGTGAATTCCGACAGGCGTTTGAGAGTTCTAGAACTGAGTGAACTTCCAGGAGTGGGCAGAAGTAATGGAAACTGAACGCAGTCTACGACTTTAATGTGACCTTACTCAGAAGAGCAACGAAAACTCCAGACCACATATTTCGGGTTCCTCACTTCCTGATACCCATCACATTGGTTTAGTGCTCTACTTTCTTTCAACCTTATTTATGATTAAACCTATGTGGTGATAAGTACCGATTTGCAACTTCAGTAATAAAATTTAAACGAAGATTTCTTGTACAGTGTTCTTGAAACGAATCCGTCAACGACTATTTACAGTGGATGAGTGGCCACAGCAAAAATCATGCTACTAATGATCTGATGAGTAGCAAATATAAAGTCAAAAAGGTTCAACCTGCACCTACAGCATGGGACCAGGTTCAACTAACAACAATAATTTACATGCCTACACAGCCATCCATCTTATTTTTTCTTGTTGAGTGAAACTGAATTGCGGGATCACCCATCTAGGTCCGCACCTCCACCCAGCAGAACTCATTTCATTCTGAGGAAACAGGCTATAAACAGTAGTCTTAATTCTATGAAGCGATGTTACTGATTTCTGATTGTAACCAAAACCATCCGGGTAAAATTTATCATTCGACTTCCAGAATACATACGCAGGGTACGTTGGATAGGTCCAAACCTGCTCACACAGATTAAACACACATTGATTGGGCGTGCGGAAATCTATGTCCTGGTGAATTTCGTGTTTTCGGGCCACAAATGACAACGCATGGGTTCAGTCCCGCACAGTCGGTTGGAGTGAGCTGGTTATTTTCAGTGCCTACGCGTCTTTCGTGTGCGGAACTCCATATGTACATGGTTTCTGCACCGGATTAGATTTAAACGGTCCTTTTATATCAAGCCGTTTCCTTCTAGATTATAACAATTAAGAAACCAGTGATGATTTTACTGTAGTAAGGGAAGCCGAAATCTCTCGGGTAGCTTACTGTGATGAGCTTCATCACCGCATTGTACTAGCTCAGTTGCTAGCTCGTAAGGTTACTGACCTAAAGGTCCGCGGTTCGAAACTAACAACAGCATCTCGACTATTCCTGTTCAGGCTTGTGGAGTTTGGCAACATCTCATCCGTCGTGTTTCTTTCAGATGGCGACAGAAGTATGCGCCGAAGGGGTGTTGCATCATAAGGATCTAGTTGGCGGGCATAATTGAAGATTACACCTCCAACCTATTCGTGCTCAGGAATGGCGGTAAAGTCAGTAAGACGCATATTAAAGTGATCGATTGATCGAACAGAATGTCACTAAAATGGTTGAGCAGGATTACTTCAAAACATATGGAGATCTCGTGAACCAGTGAAGTATTAGGAGGGCATTCATTTGCGAGCTGAGTCGTATGAAAAGGCTTTCTTTACTTCTAAGACAAGGCAGAGACAAACAATAACTGTTTTTTTTCGGAGATAATTAAATTGCTGGAGGTCACCAGCTGCTGGATAATGTTTCGTCAATTATATTTTACAGGAAGATATGCACCCCCTCATTTCGGATGGTGAAAATTAATCAATAACAGTGGGATGGGTGATGCTTCTACACCAACTTCTAAACTTAAATCTTTTTCACCAAAACAGGCCATGTCTTTATGATGCTAGTGAATCAATTTTTTGGATTCTCAGCTTTACCAAATTTTGTGCTATTCAGAGGGCAGAACGACTTATATCCATCATTAAGTGATCGAACACGCTGACAACATCCCACATATCACAAAGATTTGAAATTGTCTTTCATGCATGTGCTTTGGACATCTGATGCTTTATTCATGATTTTCTGTTGTCTAAGACTCAGTTATTAAAAGACAACAACGAACTTTTCTTATAATCTAATTACATCTGTCTGTAAAACGTCCTGTTTGAGACATACCCGGATGCATATTCATGCAAATTCGTTGGCCACAGATCAGATTCAGTGATTTGGCTATCGGAGCTATCCGAAATATCACCACATCAATTACATGATTATGTGATTCACTGGTGGTAAGGCTTTATACTTCGAAATCACCAAATGTGGCAATAAAACCATACTGCATAACCAAGCTACTGTTAACTGATACGTTCAAATGACTACTTATCAAATGGGCGCAAGCTTTCAGACCAGGCCTGAGTGATACAAATTTTGAAGTGGTGTGTTTATTGCAGACTAGTAATTTTACTTGTCTTTAGTTTGTCCAGTTTGTCAAGCTCACAGTTTGTTGTTGGCTGACGGGCTCATATCATAATAATCGTTCGGCTGTAATGCCCTTTCGATGCATAGCTGCCTTGCCAAGCGGGCCTGCACGAGGCCCAAGCCTGAATAGAAGCAGTAAAACTGCCGGAGTAGTATTCGAGACACGAACTTTCTGGTTGGTAGATTCGTGTCCTTGCCACTAATGTCTTCTGAGGATTACTCGTTGTATGGTTGGTCACTTTTGACTTTGCTCTGTCACGAGCAATTACGTAAATATCAGATATAAAAGGATTAAGCCCTCCACAAGGTCATCTGTTTCATTTAAGATCCCCAAGTCACGCCACAAATCGAGCTTTCCAGCTGCAAAATTGGCCAGTGGACGACCGATTTTTATAAAACAAAAGGTCAAAAAACAAAAGGTTAAACAAAAGGTCACCCGGCCTATTTACTTGTGCCCCTCCGATGAAACTCAATAGAGACAAAATCGCGTACGTGGCTATGCCATTCGAGATTCTACTGAAGTTTTGCCTCCACAATCCGATTTAACCCCAAACTGATAGATATTGGCTTATCAGTCCCAATCAAAAGTTGATTAATCTGGTGAAAAGTTCTCGTTACTTTTCAATTAGATTACTGCTTAAATTGACCAACTATCATTTGGAACAAAAATCACACTTTACGCGATCCTTCTTTTTACAGCAGGACGAATTTTTTTCGATAATTTGAAA